TGCTAGGACGATGATTCGCCTTGCTACGTTTCCGTTGCCGCTTCTTCACAATAACTGCTTCATCGCAAACATTCAAACTCACCTAAACGATAAACACCCTGTGTTGAGGGGCTTCACCCAGTCAGTCGATCCGCTTTTCAACGTCACCGAGTTGTGATTTTATGACTTCGCGCCGACCATTGTTATGCAGACACACCCAATCGCGAGACAAGCACAGTCGCGGCTTGTTGACTTCGACTTAATCAGGCGGTCCACGTATCTCATCACTTGTGCGCTCGGTTTCTGTTGTTGAGGTGCCCTAGAAGCACGTAGTTCGTGACAAAACAAGCCATCTGTGTACACACAATTGGGGTTCATGTGTCCTGTCTGCTAGCGGCACCGTAGTCCGGTGTCGGGTGTTCTATTTGCTCTCCATTCCTTTGGATTGCACAAGACCAAGTGTCACAAAAGGCAAATCGTATTGGCGCCAGCGCGCAAAAGTACTACACACACCACTATGCTGCAGGCAGATTGCGAAAATGCATAGTCAGAATAAGCGGAAAGAAGAGAAATGAAATCAGTCCTGTTGACAAGAACCACGCAATTTTCATTGTCTAAACCTATGGAAAATAGCTTCCAGTACCGCACAAATAACAGAGATGCCAACAAACAGAAGAGTCACTTGCAAACGAGCTCACAAAACGTTTTCCGGTTATGTGCGGAGCCTTGATCAACCACACACACACTAACAAACCATGAGCGAAATATGAGTGGTAAATCTTATTCCACGTCTGGTTTGTACATGATCGTTGCTACCCCAATGACAAGTACCTGCGCAAGGTTGCATGCATCTGATGAAGGTAACTTTCAGCGAGCTAAAACTTCTGCAATGAGGAGCGATGCCGGACACGTCCGAAAGCCATATAGTTACGTTTACGATAGATTCGTCGCAGCCAGTCTCCACAGCTTCGCTGGACAGCTGTTCCTTTCTATTCCACCTGTAGTCGAACCCGTTACGCCAAGATCGACGGTGGTGGACCGCCATGGCACGCGTGAGTTCGACCCCAGTAGGAGTCGAGGAACGCGCGTTGTTGACAAAACGGCACTCCAGCGCATTTCCACATGTGTGTGGGTCAATTTGAATGGGAATTGGCTGCGATGAACGCAAGTCAAATCTATATCGAGATCCCACTACACTCTCCAACAACGAGACGACTATGCGGATCCGAAATAATTTGAAACAATGGTAACCCGGGTGGGTCATTCACCTGTTGATCAGTTCATGGACCTTGATGTAACGGTCGCATACGTTTCGACAGCATGCGGCACATTACCGCACTGACGATGCCACCTCGCATAGTAACGAAACGTATGCAACCACTATATCAAGCTCAGGGAGCTAAACACTAGGTGACTATACGGATGCTTCACAGAGGTTTATCAATTGCGATCAGAGTGCAAAAGCGCGAAAACCAAAGTTGCTATACGTTACGTTTCCAGTGTAAAAGGAAAGCTACGGCGGAGTAGCATGAGGAAAACAGAAACCAGATTGAAGACAGTCATAGAGCGGTAGACCAGCAGCTAGAGGTACAGAAGATCTAGTTTGACAGCGTCATCGACTGCGCCATGCGATATGTCGTGCTTAGTGCAGGCCGATCCTGACGAGAACGTAGGAGTTGGCAGGCTGATTCAACCCTAGATCGACAATCGTAATAATTGCTTCACTCAACCAGGTGTACTATGGGCAATTAGTATATGCCGAGATGTGTGGAGACAGCGGGCGTACAAAAGCACAGCAAACTACCATCAGCGTTAAACATCGGAATCAGGAGGCAGCGAACAACCTTATTTTCAGCAGTTCAGCATTAGAATGATGTGCCACAACAGAGGCGACTAGAACAGATACATGCGAGTAAGAGGCAGTGAGTCAACGGACCGAAATATCTAGCTAACAGCGTTAAGCAACTGGTCTAAGTACGGTCAGGTAGTGGAAGTGACGTGTCACCATCGGTAGTCGAGTCGGCCTGTGGCCAAGGTAGACAGAGAGCCTGGACAAAGTTTGTTCGCGCATGTAGGTAAGGGTTCCCGAGTGATTGTCTCTGCTGATGCTGCCAGTAGGGGACACCGGGCGGCTCACGTGTGATGCCCGGGTCTGCAGACTATTAGCCTTCACATACGAGTGCATGATCTGGTTAGGATCTGCTGAATGCGATGACAATACACATGTGTTACAGTTTTCATCATGCGGCTGTGGAGGCGAAGTGATCTCGAGCTCTTGCAGACAGCCACTCAGTCGGTTTTCCGATGTACCTTGCTCAGCAAAGGGGAAAGATATAGTGAGCAAAAAGAAGCATGTAATCGAGGCATCATATGAATGAATTGCCAATCAAACTGTCTGCTGAACCACTAGGCGATCCGCCGTCTGTTGTGCGCATTCAATCGCCCGATTGCATATGGCGATCGGTTTGTTTCATTGGGACTGCACAACCGCCAACAAAGAACAATGTCCTCCAGATAAGACAGATGTTTCCCTTACAAACAGTGAATTTAACCGTCGCAGTGGGGGCGAGGGCTGCACTAACTACACCTCCGCCCATCCATATACCACATCCACCAGAGGGAACAAGGCCAAGATTGGATGTGAGTCAGTGGATGAATTCGAATCACAGCGCATCTCAGAATCATGGAAACACTCGAAGAGTATAGATGAAGTGCGCGCCACAAGCACACTGGCACGTTGGGTGAGCGGGGTAGGGGAACTGAGAAAAACATGTGCGTCCAGAGCGGAGGAAGCGATAGTCGGGCAGTACGTAGTCCGTTGCGCCCTCAGCTCTCAGGGACACACCAGTGATGATTGCGGTATTCCACGAGCTTTGTTCTAGTAACCAGAAATCCTAACGAAATCTGACAGATCAACGCCAAACATTTTACATTAGACTTCGGAAAGCAGAACCAACATCCACGATGTGGGCCTCAGCGCAGGTACACAATTGGCCAGCTATGACGAATCGGGAAAACATGTGACGTGAAGTTCATCGCGAGGTATCCGTTCCGTCATAGACGGTGTCTCTTAGACTCAAGACAACAGACTGAGTTGATAAATAACAGCTGATTATCTAGAGTAATTGGATGGCGTGACTCCGTCAGCCCCTGTCTCTGTCAGAAGACTCATGTGATCCATTATCATCATCATTATACACGTTAATTAGAAGTGGGAAACACCACATAAAAAGGGAATAAAATGTAACAGGTGCAAGGCAGCTGAGCTACCGGTAACGGATGGGCATCGTTCCGGTAAGCTACCAGCCGGCTACTATGCAGGAAAATAAATTACTATGCAAAATTATATAATGCTAAATAGTGAGATCGTGGTTGGTGAGGGACGAAGAAACTCGCAGGACGAACTCCACTTAGCTCGGCTCCTAGCCATATCAGAAAGTGTATCCAGCCAAAGGTGTTCATCGTCCCTCGGACCCCAAACAGGGAGCCGAGAGGCCCCAACCGAGGCCAGCTCAGAAGTGAGGGCCTTCATTCCTCTCGATCAAGTCATCGGTTGGCCACTCCTCCTTCCATCCACACCCTCGGCGCGCAAACAACGCACGTCGCGGGAGTCGGTGTGCTGGCATGCGTAACATGTAGCCGAGCCATCGGAGCCTGGTGCGTGAAATAACGGTGCTGAGCGGTTCAGTTCCTTTTCTTGTGCGGTAAACAACGCGTCCAACACGCTCGTTGCTTACTCGGTGTTCCCACCAAATGTGAGCTAAATTGCGAAGGTACCAGTGGTCGAACGTAACTAGCCTCTTTATGTCCGCTGATCTAAGGGGACAGGTTTCACAACCGTACCGCTGCACTGCACATTCTACCCTTCAGGGCAAGAGTGATGTCGCTCCGGCGCCAAGTGGCGAAAGTTGGCGAAAGCGCCTCGAGATTTTGCAATTGCGACAGCCCTAGATGGATCGCCACTGGTTTTGTTTTACCAATAGGAGTGGTAATCCAACCAATTTATGTACGGTACCGTCCGATCTGAAAGAGACGATGCTCGTGGCCACCTAGCAGTCAGATAGAAGCACAGGAGATGCAGTCAATGTTCGTGGGGTTTACAAGTACATTGTGCTATCAATCATATCTGCAAATTCAGTCCACCAGAAAGGCACATGTGTTAACTCTCCGTTGCAGCTTCAGTCGTTATCAGCTTGAACTGTGTGCATCGATAAGAACAGGTATAAACCGACAAAATAAAGAGGCAAACGTTAACATGTCATCATTGGCCCAAAAGACGTCGCAGGATGCAGGACCGTCATGGGCCAGAAACGGCGAAAACGATTGGCGATTGGCGCATTTCACTCACGCGGCTAACGACGTACCTCCGATGGCTGGGCCACGTGTTGCGCACGCCAGCCCACCGACTTCCACGACGTGCCTTGTTTGCTCACCGGGGATGTGGATGGAAGAAGAGGAGGGGTGGCCAAGCGATGACTTGGTCCAGAGGAATGAAGGCCCTCACTTCGGAGCTGGCCTCAGTTGGAGCTTCACGGCTCCCTGGTTGAGGTCCAAAAGACGGTGAACACGTTTGGCTGGATGCACTTGCTGACATGGCAAGAAGCCGACCTCAGTGGCGTTCGTCCTGTGAGTTTCTTTGTCACTCCCTATCCCTTTTAGCCTCCCCCTCCATCTACGATCTCATTTCGTAGCGTAAAACATAATAATTTTTCTTTTTGCCTAGTAACCGACTGGTAGCTTACCGGAACGATGTCTATCTGTTGCTGGTAGCTCAGCTGGCATGGAACTACTGTATTTATTTTCCCTTTCCTTTATGTATTGCGGCACAGTAGCTGAGGTGTTTCTCACCTCTAACTGACGTGTATACTGATGATGAGGTACCTATTAGTCACCTAGGGGAAGTCGACAGAAGATCATCCGGTGCGTCAAACAAAAATGCGTATGTGCAGTGTACGGGGAGTGGAACGTTGCAAAGAATTCAAGGTAGAAAGAGGTTGTAAAATTCAACCGCGAGCACTTACAGGTGTCATCCACCGATCCAAGTGCTCCAAACTAAGGAAAATGGAGAAAGAAGTAGAAATAGTGTGAGAATAAGTCTTACTCACCGGCGTTTGAAGTGTATTTCAACCACAAGAATCGAATGCAAGTGCTCAGAGGAATTCAGTACTTTGTGATAAAGGAGATGCAAAGACGGAAAAATAATACCAGCTATAGTTTTAATTATTCTGCAGTAAGAGACAGTTTACTCCCGTATTCTTTCGTATGTTACCCTGTTGGTAAGGTGTTTTTGCCAATTTCGAAGTAGCCACCAGGGACTGTGAAACCATGACTAGAAAAACGGAGGGATTTTATACGGATTTTGAAGCTGCCGCCCCTGAAGGGAATTCCATCCAACGCGCATTGATAGTCGATGGACGGAGTAGGTAAGCATACAATGATCGACTGAAAATACCTCTGACATCACCAACTACAAACTAGGATCTACGATGCAAGAGCTGACGAGGAGTGACCACCAGAACACACAGGACAGCCCGAGTATGCGACTATTCAGAAGTAGGACAGCAGAAAGAGATGAGTTGATACACTGGTTGTCAGGGTTAATTGAATTGAATATCATCTATTGGTAATCCTTCCGGGAAGGCACAAAGAGTAAGCATACGTGTATATGTGTGTGCGTGCGTGCGTGCATACAGCAACTGACATCAACGCACCACCGTCGACTGTTGATGTGCCCGTCGTGTGGTTTTATCGCGACACGCAGTACAACATGGACCACGGTTTCAGGTGAAGTGAATCTCGGTCATTCCGATCACTAAGCCAGCATCCGAAGTGAAATCCCCGATTTTGCTCTTTCCAAACACTGGACTCTACGACCGGTTTCAACCTTGTGTGCGGATTTCAGGTAAATATGTTAACAGCTGGGATTCGAATCCTGATTGTACTGGACAGTGGTTGCCCAGATTTGTCGCAACCAAGAAACAAGTTGGATACCCCAACCACTGTGTCAGCCGTTGCTCGATGAACTGGATAACTTACTGAACAAGAGGTTCAATCATCGGTCACTGCGTGCCGGGTTCTGCTTACATCTCCGGCAATTTCCACCAAGGATGAAACCGGTCGTAAAGCGCAGTGTTGAGAGCGAGCAACAATGAAAACGTGCCACTCCCAAATTAAGCGTCTAGCCGTTTGGTTACCGTAGCTCAGCAGCACCATCAAAGCCAAGCAAATCTTACGAATTCGTGTGAGACAGCATTAAGAAACTCACAACAGGCACAATGGTGCAGTTAATACCGGATGTTTTGTTAATGTGGTCCGGAGCTAGGAGCGGCTGCACTCAGGTGATGACGTACAACCGGTACGCTGAATCGCTAACTGTCCAATGGCGCAAATTGCTTTGCCGGCACGGGTGAGATGGGACACAGGCGCCATATGTGTGCCTACGATTGCAGAGCACACCGAGCCGTTCGGTTGTGAGAAGTGAACGTTAATCAGACACCACAGCCGCAATGAATGCGTCAGGCCTTGACCGCATGGCAAGACCTAGGGAACGCACGCCGTTCAGCTGTGAGAACTGGACGTGAGTCGGACACCACATAGCCCCACTGAACGTGTCATGCTTCGATCGATCGGTAGTCGGCCTTCACGCAGGTGAAAAGCCAGCGAAAGGGTTTCCTGCAAAGTGGTTAGTGGGGCGCTGTGCTAGCAATTGAGAAAAACAGCCCGGCCGTATGTGATGACCGGTTGATGGGCGCCCTATTGTTATCGCCACAAAAGCCTCATGACTGGCTTCCAACAAACCTGTAAGATTTAGTAGGCTGCTTTCGCTGCTAAAGGCAATCATACTGCCGGGAGCACATTATATGGTTACAGTGTTGTTCGCTTTACCATTTCGATCGCTTGTGTGTTACAACTGAAAATTCACCCCTCATGGGTGCATAAAAACGATCTCTTGACTTGACTTGACGTGACAATGTTCTTAGATTTCAATCTGTCCCGACGCATTGGTGACACCATTAGACAGCACACCAATTTAGCCATGAATGCAACTATTTCCCTCACAGTCAGACAATTGGTAGTTGTACAAGTTGATCAGGTCTTCGTGGTGTTTCTCGTGTACAATGGAGAATATACATTTATTCATTTCCTTACTTATATTTAGATGAAATGTGTCCCATGTCGGTAAATATCAACGAATTAGATGTTCGAATTGCCCACCGTCGTTTTGGCTACAGGGGAGCATTCGCCGAATGGTGTTGGCGAGCACTTTCTACAATGTCCCCAACAATATCTACCTATATTCGTACACAATGTTCTCTTTCAGTTCAGCCAGACTTTGGGGTTTCGGTCTAATAACTCTGTGCTTCAGGTATCCCAATAGGAAAAAAATCCATGGGATTCAGATCCGGTGATCGCGCAAGCCATTCGATCGGTCTTCCGCGACCGATCTAATGTCCACCGCATGTCTCGTTCAGGTAGGTACGAACCAATTGCACCGAATGTGCAGGTGCGCCATCGTGCAACCATCAAACGTTATTCATTAACCCTTCCTACTGTAGCTGCGGAATGACGCTGCTCTGCAACCTTTCCATGCACGAAGATGCTAAGAAATGTCGGACATTGGTACTGTTAACCGACAACCTACTGGACACACTGTTGGAAAAGAAAAAGTTAGAAGATCGCTTGGTGGCAAGTCCCTCTGAAACGTGGGGGCATATTACATCCGCAGCGCGTTTGCTGCTTCCACAGCCGTTCATGTTGGGAAGTCAGCCGTCCTGAGTGGAGGAAATCTTTGCCTCAACTTTCGTAGGCTATTGACGTGCTTTTACAGCAGTTTGTGGTTAGCACTGGAGGTTTTTTGCGCTGTTCTGCTGATAGGCGGCTTTGTCTTCGCCTAGCAGTTGAGTGCGATGGTTACGTTGCACTCCGTGGTTGTTCCAAGTTTCTGGTGCTGGAGCTTCTCTGTACACTCGCCGTGCTGCGTTGCGTACTGTTATTCATTTTCGAGTTTTGTTCCTAACGAAAGAAACTGATTTACACTTATTTCAAACTTTTATCTCTAAAGCCTCTGCAATCGGCTGACTGAATTTGTTGACGAACTGGAGCCAGGCGACTTCCGGAGGTTCTTCGGCAAGGAACGACCAAATTGTAGCGCTGACGAACTGGGCTAATCGATCGTAGCTTGTGATGGTTCACACAGTCTCATCGTTCTCATTTCGATATTCCGCATAGCAGACGAAGTTGAAACTGATGACTGCGTGATCACTGCGACCCAACGGGCAGTCTAAAACTAACAAATCAATCATATGCTCCTCGTTGGTAAGCACAAGATCCATCATAGATGGCCTGTTACCTGTTTTGAACCGAATGGGCAAAGTGATGTGATTGTGAAGAGGAACAGTGGTTACGAAATCTTGTAGATCGGCTTTGCATTGTTCTCCGATCGTGGCATGAGTTTCTACACAATGTACGTTGAAATCACCCATGATAAGTAGGTGAGTGTACTTTCGTTGTAAACTGCATCTTTAAGCAGCCACTAGGTGGCAGTTGGTTTCGGGTGTAGAGTTAGGGGGGCGGCACACCAGGACAATAAGGCAAAATCCCTGCCTTTTAACTGCAAGCGGCACCAAATAGCAATCGGGGTACTGCGAGTCTGAATCAGCCACGGCTTCGCACTCTAAGTCGCTTCGGTAATACAAGATTAACCATCCTCCTTTTGTGAGCCTGTCGTTCCGGACCAGCGACATGTCCGGTAGCGAAACTTCAGCGTCCGTCATTCCCGTGTGCAACCACGTCTCGGTGATACCAATGACATCATATGACCCGAACGTTTGGCGATCTTTAATTTCGCCCAGTTTATTAAAAGGACACTGAGCATTCGTATACAGGCACGCCAGTTTCTCGGTCTCTAGGAGCCTACAGAGGGGTGAAGGGGTTAAGTGTGGAAGATCACTGACCGATGGGAGGTCGGCAGTTACTCGTTTTTTTTGATGGGATAATGATACCTCGTTTGCGACTTCATTCGGCCAAGGTGCGTCCCAATCTTCGTTTGGACCTACGTCAGAGTCAATTAAAGCAGTAGTCAAGTTACGCTTTCATACATTCGTCGGTATGCTTGCTGCTTCAAGTGCTTTAATATTTGAGCTGTGCAAAGCTTCTGCGACCTTTAACCGAAGTTCAGAAGGAGGACGTTTCCGATTTCTTCGCCATCGATCCAAAACATCCGTTGTTTGTTGCTCTGACTGAACCACAAGTTTTAGGATTCTAGGGCCGCATCCTCTATAATTTGGTGCGAGAGGTATCTTGGTGAGCGATAGCGCAACAAGTGTTCCACGAATGAACCGCCACTGTACTATATTTTGTGCTTTCCGGTCTCTTGAGCATCGTTAGAAGGATGTTCTGGCACGCCATGTATGAAGATTGTGTTTAGGCGGTCTTGCTTGCTGTGTCCCTCTTCGGTGTTTCTTTTTGATTGTCGCGCGCTCCAAGGGACTTCAGGATAGATGCGTATCACACAGGATCCGTGTTTTAGTGCGCTTGCGGAGAGCAAAACGTTTTCTACGTCGGTGGAGGATTCTAGTGTTACTCGAATAAGTCTAGGTTCTCCATAGTGTGGCGAATTCGGATGACGAGTAATTCGTAATAAGCTTATGTGCTTGGCTTTGACACTCATCAGCACGCACAATGAGCTCCATTAGTCTTAGTCGTCCACAATGTGATGGCGGTAGATTCAGGGACATTTGAGCATACAACAGTCCGGGCACTATTGTTGGATCCCTTTTTCGTTGATCTACAAGGTGGGGTACTCGTTTGTCCGGACCTGCTGACAAGTGTTGATTGTTTGTATGAAAACGATGTAACAGTTAGATTCACCAATCAAAATCAGATGAGGAATACACGATCTTACTTACTAGACTGTAGTAATACAGTTGGTGCTGAAATAAATGAGAATATCCGTAGCTCGGGGTGTGGATGCGGATTTTGAGCTGTTCTCCTAGCTGAGTGATTATTGTGCAGACGTTTCGTTGCCTGACTAGGCAACATCATCAGTGCGGCTTCAGGGGCCTGGTTCGCAGTGCCTTGTAAGCGACTTCAATGTCCAAGTGCCTATTGATGGAGTTCTGCTTTGAATGTCAGTCTTCAATGAGCTCACGTGCCTGCCGGCTTCTAGCCATTCCTAGGATACTGGCGCGCTCTAGGTCGAATTGATGGTTCTCGGCATCCATATGCACTGACATCAAGGAGTTCTGATCGTGGCGACGAATGACTAGGCTGTGTTCGTGTAGCCTTGTGCCAAGTTTTCTTCAAGTCTGTCCCACGTAGTATTTGTCGCAGTTCCGACAGCAGATTTTATAAATCACACTAGTTTCTTCCTCTTTGCTAAGTTTATTTTTCACTTTGAAGAGTTTACTGCGAATTGTTTCCGTTGGCTGGTGTGCAACTTTGACTCCAATAGTCAGTAGAAATCAGGACACTATCATCAAGATGTTTAGTTATCACGGACATTCGAACAGTCCAATGCGTCTATGACATACGTGCCTCGTTGTCAGAACATCAATACCCAGTAGGATGGCAAGTAATCGAACAGGTCTTGGTGATTAAAAGGCGGATTCACGGATAAAGAAGACAGCACGGGGGCTGGAACGAAAAACTGGGCTGCTGACAACGATCTTGTGGTAACCCGCCCTTCAAAAGCAAAGGTAACATGCGTACTTCCGGTTAAACTTCAATTTTCTCATTTCAGGAATAAAGGTTTGTTCCCGGTTCCGTGATGTTCGTTACCTTCGTTTGTCACTAGCTCCCATCGACTATTCGAATTAGCAATACTAACAATGAGGCCTGCTGCGGTTGTGTGCATGGAAGGAAACAGATTATAAGTGTTTAGTACCATCTGAGAGAACACCAGGTGCCGTTATGCAAGATGGGGCACAGCAGCAATTCGCAACTTTTGGTACTGGATCTCCTTTTATAGAAAATATGATAAGAGGATAGTTACGTTCGCAGTTTGGCTCAAATGTGGTGGGAACACTGTGAGCAATGAGGGTGTTCGACGCCTTGTTTGTGACACAGAGATAGGAAGAGAATCGGAAAGCACCGTCATTTCACGCTTCAGGCTCTGATGGCTTGGCCACATGCTGCGTATGCCAGCCCAACGACTCCCGCAAGGTGCGTTATTTGCACGCCGGGGGTGTGGATGGAAGAAGAGGAGGGGCGGCCAAGCGATGACTTGGTCTAAAGGAATGAAAGCCCTCAGTTCGAAGTTGGCTTCGGTTTAAACCTCTAGGCTCGTTGGTAGGAGCCCGAAGTACGATGAACACGTTTGGTTGGATACACTTGTTTATATGGCGAGGAGTCGACCTCTATGGCATTTGTGTTTTGAGTTTCCTCGTCGCTCCTCCTCCCGCCTAGCCTCCCCTACAATTACGATCTCATCTCATAGGCATAATATAATATTTCGCTGCACAATAGCCGGAACGATGTGCATCCGCTACCGGTGGTTCAGCTGGCGTGCCTCTGCTGCATGTTTATATATATATATATATATATATATATATATATATATATATAGACAAATAAATAGTGTATTGTGGTATGATAGCTATTTTCCAGCTACAGCTAGCGTGTATTGTGATGATTATGATGAGAAAATGTAATAAACCAATCCATTTCTGTTCAGCATGCCTGTGTCGTGCCTCCTGGGCTCTAAATTGCTGTACCAACCCTGGGAGTCATGGGTGATATTTGGCGTAACTCAGATCGCCAACCCGGGCCCAAGCCTACCGGAATAAAGCTCCCACATACTGAATAAAAAAATAAATACAGAAGAGGCGTCTATATTCGTAGTACCGGTGGGAAGCTGATATTGTGTCACTCATCAAATGCTCTCAAAAAACGAGGTATATCGAGCAACGACGGCTATGTGATGAACAAACTATGTGAATCGCAATAATGTATTTGTGACCTAGTCGATTACGTGTGCGTGTGGGTGAAATGTTTGATGCCTGTGCGCCATAAACGGGATTAGTGTGGCATGCGGTGTGGCGATCGTGACGAGAATAGTTGTCGTACCGTAAATAAACGGAATCATGGTCCTCTGTTAAGTAATACAGTGAACTCTTTCAAACCACCTCATCAGCTAAGCCAAAAACAAACAACTTCAATTGCATGACCTCTTTTGTCAGCCAAGGTTCATCCGAATGTCAGGAATGCGACTGTAGCCCGAGTTACATTCCGGACTACAGCCTAAAAGATTTACGGCGCAGTCAGGATGGATTTGTAAAAAATGATCTGCACTCTTCTTTGCCAAAGATAAAAAAGGAAAATATGCCATCGATGGCGACGGACCAACTTTGGCATTTAACTTTTTCATGACAAAAAACAGCGCGTACATTGACATGGTACGTGGGAGATCACACGGTGTTTTTAAATGGCGGATCTCTGGTTTGTTTTGGAGCATACCTTGCCTTTGTGCACATGACAATAAATGCCAGCTGACAAATGGTATCTGTCTCCATGCTAACTACCTCTTCCACACGGCCAAGTGGAAAATCGACCGTGCAGAGCGGCGGGAGAATTTCAAGAGATTGGTTTGTCGTGAAATGGTATACCAAACAACAAGGTACAGTTTCTACACATGGTCCGGTCCGGTCTAAGAACGAGATGGTAGCTTCGAACCTAAGGCGGAATGGAGTAGCTTCAACACCTGTTTTTATTTAACGGAAAGCGGGACGGTGTAGGACAGAGCCGCATACAATTTTACTAAATCTGCTAAAATGTTTCATCTCTCGACAGCTGAAGGTGAAATTGGCAATCTCACTCAGTGCAGTCGGATGAGGTTCCTCAACATAATATACTGAGATCACACGGAAAAGCCAGATAGGTGACTAAAGTTCCACCCCTAACTCAGCCATCTCTACCTGATGAGTCCAAACCAGGAGGAAACCGTCGGTCGTGGAGTGCAGGGATGGGAGAGAGCCACACTGAAGCTTTCCACTTCGATTACAGTCCCAGTGATCGTATTGGCAGAGGGTGACTTCAAAGTCAACCGAGGCCACAATTGAGAATGCGTGTTGCAAGACGCACGGTGGTTGCTCAAAAAACCCGAAAAGCAACTGCTAACCGCTGTGTCAAGTATTGCTCGTGGATCTCAATGGCCTCGTGATTATGGTGATAGTCGCCACACATTATATGCCGAGTTCCACTCCCGGCTAAGTAATGAAACCAAACGAGGACGAAACCGGTCATTGGGTGTCAGGGATGGTAGGTGCAACCCCAGATACGTAACCATTTTAAACTACACGACAAGCGACTGTTTTAGGGTAGTTGAATTGCGAGGGTTGTGTGCTCGCTATCTCATATAGGGAGCTTAGAAGACTGATATGTTGCAGCGCTAAGGCTTCGGCAGAACTGCTCCTCGGTAGAGTGTCTCTTTTTGCACCATCAAACATCTATCCCCGAATCGGAACAGACTGAAAAATCGGCTATTTCCATTCAAATCAACCGTCGCATTTATCACCCGCTAGCAGTTATTTCCGCATAGTCTCCAGCAATAAATGTGATTCTCGGCAACGAATGACCTGGATTAGACAGTGACCGACGACAATTCGAAGTTTCTTCGCATTCGCAGACTGGAAGGCACTCCAATCGATTTTAGTACTACCAATATCAACTCAAGTCCAGGGGACTTATTTAGTTCATATATCCATCTATGCAACGAAAATCGTAAGTGGCATCCGAATGGCTAAGAAGCGTTCAGACGCGAGACTTCAGCTCGATAAACTCCGCCTGATGAGATCAAACAGGGTCGAAACAAGTCGATTAGTGCGGGCTCAAAGGAGTACGATGTCTATCAACTCAACTCTAGAGGGTTACTTCAAAGCAAACTGTAGTCAAAATGTAGGCCGCTTGATACAATCCAAGTACACAGCGAGCACTCTAAAAACTTAACCTGGAGCATTGATTCAGCTAATGGTCTGAGCGATAGTTGCAGAGGGTGCGCGTCACCGATCGAGGTGAAATCGACACCGTCAAACGAATAACGAATGGATGTACAAATACGGGGTCGGATTCAATATTTCGACTCAATACTTCCCCAGCGGCATCGAAGATCAAAGTATCACCGACTCAGTCGAATGACATTAACGGTAGACGAACCGATCGGACGAGTTTCGGACACACAAGCAAACGGGACATGAAGTGGCCAATTTCAAATGTAGACCAATCAAAACGCAGACTGACAACCCAATCAGTGAGAAGGGTTGCCTGCTCAAGCAACTATGAAAGCACACGCGTGAGACTACTTGATGCACACACACTACTGCAACGCTATACATCAACGCACTGGAAATGACACCCTGATCGGTGACGGACCGTTTGCAACAAATTGCCAGGTCCGACGAACAGTTCCACTAAAAGAGCAGTCCGTGAACATCGTGAAGAGATAGCTACGTATGGATCTACCTAGGGCTGGTGGCCACAACCGAGGTGAATCCTTCACTCACGCAGTCTGACAACGATGATGCAAATGACGATTTAACTACGTACCTGGAAACTGGTTTGTCCAACATTCGAATCAAAGCGATGATCACCGATGCGAATTGGCACTGGAGCGGTAGTGCCTCGTCCGGAGGCGAACAAATTCAACTGCGAGAGCCTCAGTCTCCGAATTTTCAGGTTATCGCTTGGGTTCTGAGTCGCAGCCGGTCGTGAGGGCGACAAAGGGTTGGACCAATGAGACGGTGAAACGTTGCCAGTGGTAGCCGGAACACCACCGTTGGGGACAAATATGGTGCCTAATAAAACAGGACAAATGGGAGAGGGTTACGGCAATTGAGCACCTATGGTGGGAATCGTGACACCATTAGTTTCTAATTCACCACTAAATTTGTGAAGCGCAACGAGATCGGGCAATCCTTTGGAGTGCGAAGTGAAAAGTGCAGGTTCGCTCAGAAGATACACGTGCAGCTAAAATAAATTCTATCAATTACGGATGGCAACGAAGGCGATTATAAGAAGAATTGAAGAAAAATCGATAGAAATCGAGAGAAAAGTCGGCGGCCGTCGAAACCAAAAACAGGTATGGACAGCTGAGAGAAAAATTTCACGGGAGGCTTTGAACCGTCGGGCTACTGGCGGAGCTGACCACTGACAGTGGCAAGCATCCGTAGCTTGTGCAACGCGCTTCAAACGATATGACAAAGATGATGCATTCAGTCACCCGATTGTGATAAGACTGAGCGAACAGTGTGAAGAAGCCGATAGATGCGCATCGCAGGAACTCATTTAAAAAGCAGCGGCAACGTTCCGAAACGTCGCTGAAAGTGGTGAGATGGCAACATCGATCACGGAGTACAGCGTGGACACAGTTGGTTTCTTTCTTGAGATTTCTACTCGCAAACAGCTACAACAGCTGATTTCTCAAAACCATGGGGATCAGACAGAGCATGACAGTGCGACTGCAGAGTTCCATGATACACCGCCACAGACACGCTACATACAGCTCCAGTAAACTTAAAACAATCAGTGTAAGTTTATGGGTCGTATTCAATGAAACACCGACACAGTCCACTACTGAAGGGATGGGGCGATGATGCTGCATCGCTTCGACCAGGGCCTCCCCAATTTTATGTGGGCGACAAGAGACCAGCATATGATCGAGTCCTATGGTTTTACTGAGAAATATACTATTCTACACTGTACCATACCAAGCGGCAGATAACTCCCTCGCTTTTAGGGACAACGTGATGTGATGGGTCTATTGGGTCTGTTGTCTCAATAACCGGATTTCGGGGAGAAGGGCCACGGGACCTGCTTCCACAACGTGAAACGCTTGTTCGGAGTGACCCTAGCAGCACTTACGGTGCAAGGTGCGTGATAGACAAGCAAGAGTGGCACACGCCTGTCCTTGAGGGAAACAAGGAAGATAGGTGAATAATAGCTAAAATTCTCCACGTGTTGGTCAAACCGTACAGAATGCACTCCACCGTAGTGCGTCACACTCATTGTTCCCAGTACGAAATGCATTAGTGGAATGCGGTTTCGGTTTGCCGTTTAAACGCAGCTGAATACATGTATTCCAGCAAATGATGCTCGCGTCCACAACGCAGAGGCAAAACAGAGGTAGGCAACGAAGGCGGATGATGATGATGACCCGTGGTAGGAGAGTGAAAGCTGATCAAACTGATGAAGCGATGCATTGAATCACAGGGTAACACTACGCCTCACGGCGGTCCCGATATATTGAGCCGTTATAGCATAACGACATTCGATATCAAGAGTGCAAACGCCCGGAGCGGTGACCACTGAGTGCTACGAATGTACCAATTGCTGCCCACAGCAAACGGACCAGCAGGCTGTCGAGCACTCGAAACAGATGATCAGCAGCGCATTAAAAGAGATCAGCAAGGCTTACAAGTCAGTCAGAAGAACTTGACGAAACTTAATGGAGCAAACTCTTATCTCCGTAAACAGAAAGATGATTCATTGTCCTGGGAAACAGAGAATACAATGGGAACAACAAATGCAGTTATCTGTTCCCTTGATAATGAGGAATAACATAAAATGGACGTACCGCAGCCGAAACTCACATGTTCAACCAGATTCCAGAAAAAATAAACTGCGAAACACACGGCGGACATCAAAAATACCACCCGTTGAGATCAGTTTAAATGTGCCGGTTCTGTCAGTAAAGGCCTGTGGTACATGTTGTAAAATGGGCGCAACGGATGAACGTTGAGACACGGCTTTATGACGCGAAGTGGATCGGCGGCAGGCCAAGCATATGCCTGACGATATGGGTGCGTCATCGACAGCTGGGTAGGCATAAGCTAACGAAATCACTCCGTCAACGCCAGTTACCGGTTTTTCGGTCAGCCAAATATAAGAGACCGCGAGTACATGCAGACGTAAGTAGATTGGTGATCGACACTCAGCCAGGTAACATACATTCGGTCCTCGAGTTACTCCTGTCTGGGGAATCTTGTGTTCCGCCCCGCCCCCCTCCCCGCCTCAGTTGGAATGGAAGTATCACCAGGCAGCATTACAAGACATGATTTTGGTACTTCGATATTCTGATGAGCGGCTCGCTAACAGCGTAAGTGCTGGCTAAAATTTTCCCTATTCTCGATGATGACATCACAGTTGGGTGTACAAAAAGTAGAAACAATGGGATTAATAATCTTGAAAAAGTGGAGATCAAACTAAAGTGAAAGTGAATGAAGTCTGCATTGCGTGTCGGTTGGGCTCTCTTTAGAGCACTTATACTTTAGGGAAAGTCCGTGTATGTGATGAAGTCGGTTAACGTAACAACAGTAGCAGAAATCGAGCCAAACCGAAAAAGGTTAAAAGTTTATCCACTTTTTATTTCCAGCGAGTAAAATTGGTGGAAAATTCAACTCCATGGCACTGATTGTAATCAAATGGTTGAACTCGGTGAGGAACTCAAGAACCGAACCATTAACCTAAGGTACCAGTATTCAGAATAATTACGAACTGCGTTCGTGATGATGTCGGCCCGTAGCCTAGAGGTAACGAGCTTGTAATACTTTGGCGCGGGTTCGAATCCGCGTAGGGGTGCGTGTCCTCGCGATATACTCAGGCAAAAAAGGCAACAACAGCAAGCCAGTACGCATTACCGACGCTCCGCTGCGGCACAACCACCACCGGTCGCACGTAGGCTGAGGATATTGCGTCGGTCGCCCGGTCCTTACACAGGCTTGAACCCGCGACCTCAGTTTACAAGGCGGGCTTGTGATTCGTTAGGCCACGGGTCGGTAACATGATACGAAAGGAATTACGAAGTGAATAGCATTAATCCCGATGGAATGTTGACAGATAGATGCAAAAAGCTGAATTCAGGAGCGCCACTGACTGCGTGGCTGTACGATACTCTATAGGATCTCGTATCACTGATATGGGCCATCCCGAAGCGCTCATTCTCGAGGACGGCATACACTTGCATGACTAAGTCATTCGGCTAATTTCTTCATGCTCCAGTGAAACGTCATCGACTGGTCAATTCACAGTTTCGCACAATCTGGTGCAGCGACGGCGTATACTACACGCCGACGAAGTCGATCAATGGAGATACGGAGAAGATGATCTAACCTGTGTAAGCGGTTAACATTCAACAAACATTCTAATGTGGAAGCAGATAGTTTCGTAGCAAAACACACCTGACGGACATCAGCTTTGCTGCTCACCCGGTGCTCCCACAATACTCCACAAGCACCGATAGTCAAACACGTCCAAGCGTTTAATGTCTTCACTACGAACTGGCTAGACATCGGATCCACACAGTAACACCGGCCTTATCGCAACGTTATATGACCTATCTTTCCCTGGCAGACTGATATCCCGCGGTCTCCATAGATGGTTCAGTCTCAGAAAAGGCACATGAGCTTTGCCGATACGCGAAGTAACCTCCCCAGTGATGTGACCATCACTAGTGACACAGCTACCAAGCCAAATGAACCGATTCACCACTTACTGTGGCTGTTCGGTAATGGCTAGAACCAGTCCAGTCCTGTATCAATACCCTTCACTTTGAAAGTGCAAAACACATTCTGAAGAGTGCAGCGCTACGCGTCATTCCAGTCAGTAGTGCTTGCATGGCCACTGCGTCAGGACCAAGGAAAGCTATGTCGTTCGAATACTCAATATTTTTCAGTTGGTCACGTGACAGAACTTCCAGTCTAGAAGAGGCTGAAAAGACTGATGTATGGTCATTTCGGCCATACAGATGAAGATGGAAGGATATATAGGACAACCCTGGCGAACCATATTTGCAATGAGAAGGCATGGAGTAACTGGTGAACTGTACTGATTGCGAGGAACTCAGGAGACAGATTCCCGTAGACACTTATCCAGACCCGGGAGTCACAGCAAAGAGACATCGAAAAAGGGAGAGAGTTTCTCTGGTGCGCCCTTCACGAATAGATGGTACCACAATTTGGCACGATCAAGAGTTGAAGATTGCCTTCAGGCAAAGAAAAACCCAACATGGTCGGTCGTCGATAAGTGTAAGTCTGTCCTAATATTAAACGAAGAATAAATATGATCTGTGCAATTATGAACGGGGCTCTTAAATATCCGGCTCTCACATGAAATGCTAACTCAACGAGAGGGATGCTTGTAAGGAGTCTGAAGACAGTTAAAATAGGGCAATATTCGTGTTATCGTAGAGTTCTTTGATCTATTTACGGTTGACAACCGCAATCTAGAGGTCTCTGTGTATAAAATATGGTTGGCGAAGAGACATCCAATGAGTGCGGCAGTCAGAATCGGTCAATGTGAGCGCGCGATGTTCAGAACCAGTCAATGGAGAGTGAACAACATGTTTATGCGACTGCTAATAGCACGTGAGCATTGGGTGAGGTCACACGCTCTGCAGTATGTCCAAATCCACTGTACTGTGATACAGAGTTGCAGGTATGGCAACTTAGTATCGAGTATCATGTCCTGAGTTAGGAGGCTTAAATGGGCCGGAAGCCGCTACAGTCGCATCGTATCACCACCTATAATAGCAGTAGAAAATAGCGAAGGTCTAGAGCCATACTGTAACAGAAAGGTCGTGTGAGTGTCAGGACCCCAAAACATTAACATCCCGTTTGCTCAACCAGAGCGTATTATTTGAAGCCCAACAAAGGCAGTGGGGATTCAGCAATTGTTCACAGGACAGGCTGATACCAAACGCTTCCCTGCCCCCAGCATGTATGACCAGAGGACGAAGTTTGTATGAATTCTAACCACTGGAAAATTTAGCACAGTAGTCGTCGGAGTGCCAAAAGGGCACAGGCCAGCACAGGTCAATGAGATGGAAAAACACGTCAGGAATCAATCTTGTTTCAATAACAGTGATGACAGGCGTAATGTCCAACGAGTACAGGAACCTAAGCCTACATCGGGAGAAGCACTGGGATATCGGTGAACATGTTTAACGGGATTGGAGAGGCAGTTTGATGGAATTGAAACACTTATTAGCCGCAATACTATGGTCGTAGCACGCGATGACCAACAAGACCATTTTACACTAGATACAGGTGAGCTCATGAAAGAAATCCACTCCCAGAACTAGTACTCGAGGCAATCGGCGAGGACACCAGAGTAGTTAATGAACAGACTCATAGCAATCGTGAAAAAGCGGGAGGCGATGAAAGTCGCGATGACACACAGTAGCAAAGGGCAGAGGTGCAGAAGTAATGGGGCTGGCGAATGAGATTGCGTGCAACAAAGAGGCATGCTGCAAAGCAAGTCATGCAGCTTAGGCTGCAACGAACTTAACCAAGGAGACTATATGCGTGCAGAACAAGGGCATGATAGGTAGCGGTGAGTCCACGCAGGGTTAGACCGATGCGAACAGCGTGATGAAGGTCGTGAGGAGTTGTGCATTCACTGGCAGATGCTACAAATGGAAGCAGCAAGCAACGGGGTTGAGGTTGGACGAAAACGACAATAATATGGGCAGGTTCTCACAAAAGACATGCTCCAGAAAAAGTCTTACCATCAGAGTTGAATCGCATTAGGGGACGCAGTCGTTTCCGACGTTCTAAGTATGCACACACACACGCACCCGTGAGATATGAAGACATACACCCGGTGTTACAAGGTAAGCAAGGCCATGCATTGCACATAATGGTGTCACGTGCAAATAAAGGTGAAATGTCAAAGGCAGGTGAAGCAATGTTGCAGTAGAAAGTCAGCACGGACCATGGTGAATGTTTAAACACAAATACATACAGGTGGCAAGCGCAAAATGGAAACACAGAGGGGGAAAGAGAGAAAGAGACGGAAACGTGAGTTATGAGGTGTGGTCACCACGCATTACCGAAAGAGACAAAGTGTAAGCAAATGATTTAGAAGGGCACCATCACCGAGCAAGGTTAATCGTTTTCACTTACCCCAGAGGGAACGAGGGGGGCACAAATTGCCTGTGGTTCGTGTGTGGGAATGAATGTATAGAGTGGGAAAGTGAAAGTGGAACAATCGGGCAACGGCGAGAGGACTGTAGGGAATGAGAATGATGAACGCGTCTCACGTACCAGTCAGTCTACCGGGCGCAAGTCAGGAAGATGGTGCGCATGAGCGTAGAGAAAAGAGAAACAGCCGAACAATCGTTTGGCAACATGGCAAGACGTGAAATGCGGAAATGCACCCAAGCGAATACAGGAAGAAACCTGCTAATAGATGAGTACTGTTCATTTACCGTAGGCTAAGTAGTCATGTGCAGATATTTGTACAACATGGAGCAGTCAGCACTGAAAGTGCGATAAAGGGTGAATCGGGAACAGGGGACGAAAAGAACCAAATGCATTACCAGTACACCGGTGAGGCGCGCTGGCGTTTCCCTGCCACGCGACCACCAGCAGCCGTGAGCGGACAAGGATACTGCGAGGTTGCTCTCTACCTACGCAGATTCGAACCCATGACCCTAGGATTACGGAGCAGAAGCCTCAACCATTCGATCACTAGCCGACCAACTGGGAGGAGGGGGTACAGGCGGTTGACCTTATAACTTTGGAACTCGAATACGTTACACTAGTGTTGGAATTGACACGAAGGATACATATAGGAAGAAAAGATGAGAACAAGGCGATCGGCGGAGAGGTACCAACATTCTTGGCCGAGCGGCATGTGAGCAGAATGAATGAGCAAGGGGCACGAAACAAGACGCCAGAATCTCCGTTGGCATCGAATTAACCTGTGAAAAAGATGCCTCAAAAACCTCGGTCAATTAACTTAGATCGACACACCAAGTCGCGATCGATCCAGCTACTTTGATACGCACTAACAGTAATAATAATAATAATAATAATAATAATAATAATTCAAGGAGAATGCGCTATAACTCTAATCGTCAGTCCGAGGTGAGGATACGAACACAAAAATGCTATATCCGTCAAGGTAGCGAAACGCGATACGAACCGATTCGACTTCCGAAGAGTACCTACATGCTCTTCTGTCAAGTCCCTGACTGGTCACCTCGGGGTTTCACGCAACTATTTGCATCATTGGCGAATAACATGCAGTTCGGTGGCATCTATATGGAACACAGAACCGAGCCAGCAATAGAGATTAGAATTGAATAAATATTCCAATGAGGCTCTGGAGGTTCTGCACCGGCCCGTAGCTTAGAGATAACGAGATTGTCTCGTAATCTTGCGGCGTGGATTCGAACCTGCGTAGCGGAAAGGCGACCTTCGCAGTATCGTTAGCCCACGTGCGACCGGTAATGATTGCGCAGTAGCGAAGTGTCGAGACTGCGGACAGGCGTACTGCTTATGCCTTTCTTTTCAGAGATTCTGCTCCAAAATCACGAAGGATGAACTTCCGTACTGCTTATAGGGTTCTCCAAATAGCGAGAAGCAACACTTCACAGGCAGTCGTGGTCGAACAATCGCAGTCTCCTAACATCCTCAGCACAAGTGGGACAGGTATGTGGTGCACACAAAGCAACGCTAACCCAATCGCAGCGGTATAAAGTCTTCCCTTACTGAATAGTGTGTTATAGAGCAAGCAGAAATGAATTCTGTACAACTCTTTCGAAATATGGTGAAGAACGTTATAAAAGTTTTCAACCGTGAATATCACTGTCGTTCTCATGTAATATTTAAAATATTCGACTTACGATATTTCAGGATTCACAAATGTGATATGTCATCGCAAGTGTGCAGTCGTTCTCTGGATCGAATAGTGGCAAAATACAAATCTAACAACGTTTTGAACTGTTGCACAGATGTTGCCTCAATCACATGTTCAGGTAAACTGTTCCAAATGTTTTCCACTCTCCGTTCGAAGCACAGTGGGTGGGGAACACGTTTCACATCCGGCACGACAAGTTTGTATCTGTGTCCGCGTGTGCTGCATGGCCCTCGTAAGTGCAGCATTGGCGTCCGCATGGGGAATTTATCGAGATGTAGTATATACGGTAGGTCATAATGAGGTTGACTCGCACCCGACGGTAGGACAAGGTGTAGAGTCCTAGTTTTTCGCACCGGTATTCATATCTCAAGCCACGTAAACTCGGGATGAGCCTGGTAGCAACGTGTTGGACCCGTTCGATCTTTTCTGCCTCGCCTCGGGTAATCGGAAAGTAGGCGGGCGAACCGTACTCTAGCATTAGTCTAATGATGGAAGAGAAGAGGCGAGTGGCCACCTCTTTAGACCATGTGCCGAAGCTACGTTTGAGCGCCCAAAGCACGCGCAGTCCGTTCGTGTTGTGCACGGACTTCAAAGCGTAACCGAGAGTACACCTAGGTCCTTCATGGAGAGTGTGAGATATAGTGGTTGGACGTCAGCACCTTTCCCTAGACTCAAATATAGACTTCGCTGGGTTGACCGGGAGATGAACTGATGCAGACCATGTGAATAGGCGGTTGAGGTCTTGCTGAAGTACGCCACAGTCGTCGGGAGCGTCAATTTCTCTCCAAATCTTCATGTCATCCACAAACAAAGCACACGGCGATCAGAGAATCTGAAGTAGATCGTTGATGTGGATCTGAAACAGAGTGGGCCCCAGCACAGTGCCTTGAGACACGCCACTTGTAGAGGGATACTAGTCAGTTGGAGGGTCCTCGACCTGTACCCTCCGCTTTCGTCCAACAAGAAAGTCGCGGATCCACCAGTGCAGTGAGCCACCGACACCGCACATCCTGAGCTTGTGAAGGAGAACCTCATGACTGACCTTGTCGAACGCTTTACTGAAATCGATGTATATCACGTCGACAGACTTCTGCCTGCTTTTTGCCTTCAACCACTCATGCCTTGTCACAAGCAGGTTCGTAATGCATGAGCTGCCTTGCATAAAATCGTGCTATGCGGGCGTCAGGACCTCGTTTGACTGTAGTAACTGCAAGAATCTCTTCTTCACGATTTTCTCAGCAACCTTTGCGAAAACAGGTGTCAGACAAATTGGCCTGTAGTTGTCTACTTTGCTAGCGTCGCCACCTTTCGGAATAGGCTTCACTACCGAACATTTCTAGTCAACCGGCAACGAACCTTCGGACAGCGACCTGTTGAAAAGCTCAGTCACGACAGGAGAGATGATGGTCGAAAGTGACTTGAGAACCAGTGGGTGAAGCCCATCAGGTCCGGCAGGTTTGGTGGCGTCAAGATTGGCGAGTAGTTGACATACCTCTTCAACGCCGCAATCCAGACTGTCGAGTTCGATAAAGGCGGTACATGTCGAACTCGGAACAGACACCTGGTCATTTGCAAATACAGAAGCGAAGTGCGCCGCCAACGCGGACGTACGCTCAGTGCTGGAGGTTATAGGCTGTCCATCCGGGCCATCCAGAACTGACACATCACCTGCCGGCTTCAGGAGTCGCTTCAGGTAAGCAAAGATTCTCTTTGGGGCGGTCCTCACGGCCATTGCGAGCTGCTCTTCGAAATGAAGCGCTTATTCTTTTTTCACTGTTGCAGATGTTTCGCTGACTTTTATACCCTTCGTAATCATTGGCAGAGCCAAACAGGAGGAATTTGTCCCACAGTCAGCGCCGCCTCCGAACCAGATTTCCATACTCAGTGTCAAACCAATGAGCCTTAATCAGTCCAATCTTCCGACATTTCAATGGCACAAATTAGGAACACAATGATGTCAATTTCTCTTTTATAAATATCCAACAGTCTTCCACAGATGCAGCTTGTGACAGAGACCAATCCAGTTGGCTCGCGGTTCGAGCTAGACTATCGAAGTCCGTTTTCCAGTAGTTGTGAGCTGGTTACAGCGGACGTGAATACGGCAAAGATAATCCCATATCAGTTATGAGCACTGAATGGTCGCTTGTAGCCAGGGGCTCCAGAATCCTAACGTCACGCACTCGTTGTTCGTAGCTCAGGTCGAGACAGGACGGGGTTGAGCGTGTTGGCTGGCATATGTGTTGCGATGCACCAGTTTCAAGTACCAAATCCACGAACTATGCTTCAACCTCACTATGTCCAGGCATCAAATGCACATCAGGCCGTTGTATTCGAGGACAGTTAAAATCGCCCATAAGTAGAAAGTGTGGACGACTCATGTGGGTTCGAAGAATGGGCAGCCAATCCAAAACAACGACTCAGCGGGCTGCGATAAACTGCGCCCACAAGCAGTTCTCCGAGCCTGAGGCGGATGGAGCACCACAGTAGCTCACACAAACCATCGTCACTTCGGTAGGTGCTCACAAGTCTCCCACGCAGGGAAGATCGGATGTAAAGTAAGACACCACCGTGGGCATTCTTTAGTCTATCGCATCGGAAGCACGAGTAACCGCTGAGTTCAAGTTCTTAGGTGTATAACTCTGAATGCAGCCATGTGTCTGCGAGCCCCACTACGTCTGGCTGCTCAGACGCAACCAAACAACAAAGCTCATCGCGCTTGTTCATAACAAGCGATACGCCTACGTCATGCAGCCTCCCTAAGCGACAGAAGCTTTAGCAATGCGAACAGTAAGCTGGACGCAAGAGGTGATGAAGCCGACCGCATAAACAAACTGGTTAATTATTTCAAGTGGTGATTCGACCACAGTGAGAACTCCTCGTAAGTCGCCCTGTAACATTACACTTGGCGGTGTGGAGCACGAATCAAAGAATGCATCACTAAGCGTCCGTCTATTCTGCAGCATTTGCACAACAGTTGTGTCTGATCCAAAGAGAGCTATATCGTCTGCATACTTTCAGGTTGACAGTCGGACGTCCAGCAGAGTCCTAATTTCAGGAATAGACCAAAATAGAAGCAATCATGACCAATTCAATCACAAATTAGTAGAGAGAAACAGAGTAGCCTTAGGAACTCCACATATTGTAGCTAGCTCAGGGAAGAGTTCCAGGTAGACTGATATGCGGTCACGGGAGTTGTGGTGTGGAGCTTGTGGAAGAGACAGGAATTGCTCTGGTACCTCTTTCAGAGACAGCCACAAACAGATGCGACTGACGGTAACAAGAGCAGTCT